TTTTTTGTCTTATGTCTTGCCTCCTCTGCCTTTCCAAAAGCAAACTCATTAAAATTTTGTCTTTCTCACTTCTCTGTTATGTCTGCATCCTCACTAACAAACAAATTGTAACACCCTCGATGCGGTTATATCTCCCACGTGTCGAAGCACGACTTAGAGACATAACCGCATTGAAAGCAATGTCGCAAGTGAGGTAATCTTCACACACCCCATGTAATACATAAGGGAAAGAGATACATAGTTGGCTTACAATCGCCACTTCACACAATACATGAATAAAGCATTACATCATCCAGATACAATCAAGGTCCGACTACGGAACCAAAATAAAAGAAGACTACCCCAAATGCTACACAGATCCCCGATCGTCCCAACTGGGCTCCACTACTGATCAACTGGAACGAAACAACACAAAGGACAAGATCTTCATCAAGCTCCTCCTGAGCTTGGTTGCGTCACCTGCTCGGCAACATCGGCACCTGCAAACTGGTTTTGGAAGTATTTGTGAGTCACGGGGACTCAGCAATCTCACACCCTCGCGATCAAGACTATTTAAGCTTATGGGTAAGGTAAAAGGTATGAGGTGGAGCTGCAGCAAGCGACTAGCATATTTGGTGGCTAATAACGCAAATGAGAGCGAGAAGAGGAGGCAAAAGCACGGTCGAACAACTATAATCAAGAAGTGATCCTAGAACAACCTACGTCAAGCATAACTCCAACACCGTGTTCACTTCCCGGACTCCGCCGAGAAGAGACCATCACGGTTACACACACGGTAGATGTATTTTAATTAAGGTCAACTTCAGGTTTTCTACAACCGGACATTAACAAATTCCCATTTGCCCATAACCGCGGGCACGGCTTTCGAAAGTTCAAATCCCTGCAGGGGTGTCCCAACTTAGCCCATCACAAGCTCTCACTGTCAACGAAGGATATTCCTTCTCCTAGGAAGACCCGATCAGACTCGGAATCCTGGTTACAAGACATTTCGACAATGGTAAAACAAGACCAGCAAAGCCACCCGAATGTGCCGACAAATCCCGATAGGAGCTGCACATATCTCGTTCTCAGGGCACACCGGATTGTCCAAACTTCCGGTAGGCCAGCCCAGAGTTGCCCCTGGTGGCCACCGGCGGCTGACAGGTTGGACCAACACTCAGAGGAGCACTGGCCCGGGGGTTTAAATAAAGATGACCCTTGAGTCTGCAGAACCCAAGGGAAAGAAAAGGCTAGGTGGCAAAAGGTAAAACCAAGGTTGGGCCTTGCTGGAGGAGTTTTATTCAAGGCGAACTGTCAAGGGGTTCCCATTATAACCCAACCGCGTAAGGAACGCAAAATCCAGGAACATAACACTGATATGACGGAAACTAGGGCGGCAAGAGTGGAACAAAACACCAGGCATAAGGCCGAGCCTTCCACCCTTTACCAAGTATATAGATGCATTAATTAAATAAGAGATATTGTGATATCCCAACAAAATATTCATGTTCCAACAAGGAACAAACTCCAATCTTCACCTGCAACTAACAACGCTATAAAAGGGGTTGAGCAAAGCGGTAACATAGCCAAACAATGGTTTGCTACGACAAGGTGGGTTAGAGGCTTGGTTCAACAATATGGGAGGCATGATAATCAAGTGGTAGGTATCACAGCATAGGCATAGCAAAAGAGCGAGCAACTAGCAAGCAAAGATAGAAGTGATTTCGAGGGTATGGTCATCTTGCCTGAAATCCCGCAAGGAAAAAGAACGATTCCATGAAGAAGACAAACGGACATAGTCAAATGGGTCCTCACAAATGCGATGTAACGGAACCAACCCGAAGAAGCAACATCGGAAAGAAGCACACAACATAGTAAACAACCAACACACGAACATGGTATGATATGCGGGATGCGGTATGCGATGCATATGCATGATTTGGACCTGAATGATTGAACCTGGCCTCAACTTGGAAATCCAAGAGTGCCACTGGAAAGAGGAGTTGATTTCGGTTGAAATCGATATAAAGATCACTGGAATCTGATGCACGGTTTGGAAATGGCAAGCAAAACAAATATGGCACCGGTCTGCGATAATCAGCAAGTGACCAACTAAATGCAACAAGTTAAATATGCTACAGCACTCAAACATGACAACAAAATACATGGCAGGGATCCACTCATGATGCTTGACAAACGATGAACACTGAGCTACGGCTAATTCATCCATTAACAGGTTCAAACAAGCATGGAAAAAGTGCAAGTGACAACAGGTTTCAGACTTAGTGAAATTAACACAAGTCTGGAATTTATCATCAGGAAGCAATCTTTACAGCATGATAACTATATGCTACAGGAACTTAACATGGCAAAGCAAGGCATGGCATGAAGCTACTCAAAGCACTTAACAAAAGTCCCTTAGTGACCTTAAGCCAAAAGGGATCAGAAAGTACAATTGCAAGCATGTGAACATAGCAAAAACATAAACAGATTCAGACTTAGTGAAAAACTGGAGCATGCAAAATAGTTAACAAGTAGGCATGTTTACGAGCTCGATGCACTCACTACGAGGCATTGCATGACAAAGTAAGCATACACCCATCAAGAAGACATGGCATAGAATCTAGGGATGGCAAGAACAACAACATAGCATGCACGGATCAACAACAACAAGCTTGGTAAAATTGCTAAACATGTTAACAATCTACCAGGAACATTTTATAGCAAAAGTAGAACTCGATTGACTCAAGCTAGGGTAATCCATAAATGCAAACAAAGACATGGATGGATAGAGCACCACAATGTTAACAAAACATCCTTACTGATCATCCTCAAAAGAGGCACGTATCACTAGGAAACAACATGAACATATGGCATAACAACAAAATCAGGACAAGGACTTAGTGAAATTCTAAGTCCCTGAAATCAGCATTACCGATTACGCTACTTTGCATGCTTGTGCTAGTCACCACAAAGATCAAAAAAATACATGGCATACACCCCTGTAAAGATGGCATGGCAAACAACAAAACACATGTAGAGCTCAGGATCATATCATGCACACATTAATCATGGCAAAAATGACAAGATGCCATTTGCTGAAACAGATCTGACAAATTCATCACATAGCCCTCTTCCAACATTATTTCGGGCATCAAGATGAGCTCAAAAGAAAATGATGCAATGAGATGAAATGATGTACTCGTCGAGGCGAACATTTTGATATGATATACACACGAATCGGAGCTACGGATGCAGAGTTATGGCATGATGAATATTGCAAAATAAATCTGAGAGATGGGGAGAAAGTCAACCAATCCGGATCTAGGGTTTGCACGCGGATCGAGGCGGCGGCGGATCTCGCCGGAACAGGGGCTGTTGGAGCTCGCGTTCACCGAAGAAGAGGCTGATCCGGGGCGCGCCGGCGACGAGGAGGCGCCGGACGTCGGCGGAGGTCGGCGCCGGGGCGGCGGAGGTGGC